GGGCCCGAGGGTAGAGAGATAGATACTGGAAAGCACACGGTATGAAGGGAAGGTAGAAGGAGGCAGGACACTAGGATCTAGAACAAGGAATCCAGGCCCTGCTCTGCTCCACAGTACCCAAGACCCTCCAAGCCCATGGCTTTTTAGTTCTAGCTGAAAGGACACCCACTGGGTAGGCTGTAAGCATTGTCACCTACTTATTCTTTTCATTTTTCCATTTCAAAGGAGCAAGCTAATTCATTCAGATAATTCACTTTTGGATGTAAGGTTGTATAAGAAAGTTATTGTAGGGGTTGGGGAGCTTGCTTAGTTGTTTAAGTTTTTGCTATACAAGTATAAGGACCCGAGTTTGATTCTCACCACCCATATGGTGGCACGTGCTTATACTCCCAGGTCTGGGGAAGCAGAAACAGGCTGATCTCTGGGGCTCACTGGCCAGTCAGCCTTGCTGAAACAGTGAGCCCCAGGTTCCAGTCATGCATGCACGCTCCTGCACCTACATTCACCCACATAGATGATAACACACACAAATAAAAAAAAAAATTAAACAAAGTTGTATAAACAGAACTGGTGAAGTGGTAAGGGTCTTTGCTGCCAAGCCTGATGACGAGAGTTCAGTACCTCAGACCCACATGGTAGAAGGTGAGAACTGACTCATTCAAGCTGTTCTCTGACCTCTATGGCTATACACACACACACACACACACACACACACACACACACACACACACACACACACACACACACACACACAGAGAGAGAGAGAGAGAGAGAGAGAGAGAGAATAAAAAACGACAAAAAGGGCACAAAAAGCCAAGACAATAAGTCCCAGTGGACTGTTCTCAAAGCCCCTCCATTTCTTCTCTGCTCCCTGTGTTGATTCTTGCCTGTTTTCTACCCTAGCCTCTCTGCTCGGAATCCTGTGTTCCAGTCCCCTCGCTTTCCAGACCTTATCCTTTCTCCCTCGCAGCCATCCAACATGAGGCTTCCCAAACTTGACCTGTGCAGAACAGGATTGGAGCCATCTCTGCTGAGCAGCAGAATGTTAGTATCCTCAGGGCAGTGCCTTTTCTTCTTTGTGGACACTGGAGGTATACCTCCTTAGCATACCCTTGCCCACCAATTCCCTCCCTCTGTGAATAGGGTGGATGGTGAAAGTTCTCTCATTCCTGCTGCTTGGGAGCCCTGTCCCTGGCCTCCCAGTGGGGTCAGTGTCCTGCCTGCCCTGTTTAGCTTGGGATCCTGGCCCACAAGATGACGGACTATAATAGCCACAGGATTAACATAGCAGGCATTGTCTTTCTCTGACTATAAGGTGGGTATTATGTGTTCATCAACAGTCCTAAAAATACCCAGTAAACAGGTGCAGCCCTGTGGCCCCAGCCTTCTAAGGTCAGTCAGCCCCTGGTTGAGATGAAGATTAAGCAGGGAGAAGTGAATTATTCTCCCTGACTTTAAGAAATGGAATATGGGGTACTATTTAGAATGTGGGCAATCTAGATCCCCTGAAGGCCACCTGAGGGAGCAATGTCTGCAGACCCTCAGGCAGCCACTGTGACTCAGCTGGGCCCCAGAAACATGCTCTGGAACCACCAGAATCCTGAAGGTATCTTCCTATTCCACCTGCTCCAGAGCCACAGACAATTCTTGAAAGCCACCTTTGTCCTTTTGAGGTTTTTGGAGCATGGGCTGGGGATGAATTTCCATATGTCCTGGCAAGAGAGAAAATGTCAGCCTGATGCCTCCCTGCCCTAGTCCTTGACGGCTCCTTTAGGTCTCCCAATGTCTTGCTCTCCTTCATCCCCCATTCCTGGTCCATCTCTGTTCACATCTGGTCTGGCTTTTCACTGTCTCCCTTCCCCTAGGTAGATGCTAGTTCCACCCAGTTGGTGGCTCTGTGTACACAGGATTTGTGTGTGCTCCCGAGGCATACACACTGGTCTCTAAGCCTGTGTGCCTGTGGTGTGTTCTGCAGTATGCATTTGTCCTGTGAGGTGTATATGGTGGGAGGGGGTGAGAAGGAGGGGCAGCTGGAGGGGCAGTGGCTGTTCTATTTTTACTGGCCAGTTGCCGGAGGCCACAGTTTTCATAGCTTGCCCTCAGCTCTGCCCCCACAGTCTATAGTTTGCTGTGAGGTTCAAGCCAGCCCAGCTCCCTGAAGACTGAACCAGGTAAGTGTCTACAGCCCTGACTGTGGACCTAAGAAAAGGTCAGGGAGACAGGGTTTGGTTTAAGAGGAAATGAGGTTTGGAGATGGAAGATGGTTCTTGCCTGGGTAAGTGGGTTTGTTGATAGAATGGCATCTCCCCTGTAAGATGGCCGTGGGAGGTAAAACCTTTCCCTGGAGGATAGGAGCCAGGGACAGAATTGTCCAGCAAGTTCCTCAGAAACCCAAGGTACAGCTTAGTGGACTGTGTTCTCATGAGAGGCTGTAGCCAGTGGCAAGAAGGACAAGGGCCCTAGCAGGAAGGGTGGCACTGGAGGCCAGACAATCAAAGCAGAGGGTCTGAGATTAGACATTTCAGAGGAACCTGGAGAGCAGTGACAGAGAGCAGTGCCTTCAGTGGTAGGACAAGAAGAAGGCTAGCACGCAGGACTCTCGGGAGACAGGACTGGTACTCCTACTAACCACAGAGACCATCTAGCCTCTTTGTCTTTTGACTCTGAGGGGTGCTGTTAACTCTCTTTGCCTGCCTCATCTGCACAGTAGGACATGAACAGAGGAAGACGAACTGTCAATTCCTTTCCCTGCTCTGACTCTGAGATGTAAGAGTCTGGGGAAGGTAGATAGTGATATCATTGGGGTGGGAGCATATGAGCTTGTGAATACATAAGCTAGAGTGATATCCAGTGTGATATTGGCAGAGGGAGTGCCAGAGATCTCTGAGGTGGGGGCTAAAAGCAGCATCCGCCTCAGGTTTGGAAGTCACAATTCTTGGTCATAAGCTTGGGAGTCCAGCCTTTTTAACAGGCAGTTCAGGAGGATGGGGATGCCCTTGAACTGGGGTCCAAGGTCAGGGGTGGGGGAGCAGGGGTAGAGTATGAGCCTACCTAGATGTTTGTGTCCCTATTAGGTGTGTCAAGAGGCCAATTCCTTTCCCTATACTGTCTGTTCCTCACACAGGATTCTTTACACACTCAAACAGCCTTGGCTCACAGTCTAGCTGGCAGACTTTGCACTTCATGGGCTTCAGGGCCGGGAAAGTGAGCCTTGAATCAGGCACCAAAGTCTCCTCTTGCTGTGGGTTTTCTGTTATCTTCTTGCTTTCCACTTGTGGTACCGATGGAATTCAGCTCTCAGCCTCGTTGCTATCTACATCCTGACTTCTTATCACATCCCAGCTTGTCTTCTACAGAGCTTGTCAAGGGGTCCTGCCTGGTGGGTGTCAGAGCACAGGTCAGGGCCTAATGCTTGATGTGGGACCCCTGGGTCTGGCATTTGTCAGTGGAACAGGTTGAGGACTGCCTGGAGCTTGGCAGGAGGCCCAGGCTGGCCCCAGCAGGTGGGCCCCACACTAGTGACAGTGGACTCTAAAGGACAGAGGAAGGACGGCCATGGCCAAATGCCCACCAGAGCGAAGGAGACAGATGTGAGACCTACTAGGCTGAGACTGGAATTCTCAGAGCCCAGACAGATGTGGGGCTGGGGCTTGGTCAACTAGTGTTTCTGGACTTCTTTAGTGTCTTCAGAAGAGCTGAACCCTAAGAACCAGCAGCTGCCTATAAAATCTAATTTCAGCTAAGCATCTTGAGAATGTATGGATGGTCTCCGCACTTCTCCCCCTGTGCCTCAGGGGACAGCTGAGACTCCAGGGTCACCCCCCTCCCTAGCCTCACTCTCCCCATGGCAGAGGCTGAGGTAGAAGTTTCCCTGACAGGGTGGGATTCAGGCAGGAGTGGTCACCAGGCTCAGAGAGATTCTTCATGGCATTATTGGTGGGCACCTTTTAGAATCTGCTCCAAATCAGGTTCTTGAGCCAAATCCAAGCTTGGACCCTGAGGTCCATGCCTGCCCCCTCCATATACATTGCTCCACCCACGCCTCACTTAATCCCCCAGCTCAAGTCTCCTGTCTCACTCTGCACACTTGTCCCCACCCTGACTGTTCCTGCTTCCCTGAGCTTTGGCACAATCCTTTCTTCTTCTCCTCAAATGCTCTTTGTTAGGACCCAGATAGGAGGGTGAGTCAGGTCTGTAGCCTCTGTAGCCTCCAGAATCCCTCCTTGGCTTGGGTCCAGGGACCACCTGTTAGGGGCTTCAGACGGCTCCACAGCTGTGTTCTTGCAGAGGATGTAGGACTCCTACAACAGTCCCTTTATCTAGCACCACTGTGCCTTAGTGACTGAACTTGTTTTGCTTCCAAGTAAGATCTGGTTTGAATAAAAGGTTCAAGGGCTAAATGTTAAATAGTATGCCACTTATCTAACCCTTAATTTTGTGGAGAAGAAAACTGACCAAGAGAGAGTGAAGACAGACTAGATATGAATAGATGGTTTTTCCTGCCTTCTGGCTTAACTCCTCCACTCAGGGCTTCATACCACCTACCCAGGGCTGCTAGGCACCTATTGAATAGTGCTCCTGGGGTTGGGCCTCTTGGCACCTAGTTACATGCCAGTTTCAATTCTACTCTGTTCACCTTGTGCACCCCACCTAAATTCTAATCCATAGGTAAAGTCTAAAGCCAGCTTGTTCAAGGCTTTCCTGAGCCAGCCCCATCCTCACTTTCTACCCATGTTTTCTATGGATGCCATTCTGTTCTGCACTGGGGTCAGCAGGATTTTTCTGGGAACAGCCATATGTAAATGTTTTAGGTTTTGCAGGTCACAAAAGGATTTTGTTCATGTATTCTTTCTTCTGACACCAGTTAAGCAAAATAGCCAAGGTGTCCTGCTGGACTCTGTCACATTGACTTCTTCCTGCTGTCTGGTCCCCAACATCCTCCTGGGGGTTCACAGCAGGAGTTACAGCTTCTCCATTATTGATCTCTCTGTGCCCTCTAGGTGCTGCCCCTGCTGCCACCATGCCGGAAGTGTAAGTCATCTCACTTCTACCCGGGGATCTGGGGAGGCAAATCCTTTACCACAGACTTCAGCCCCACAGTTAAGGACCATCTATCTGTTCACCCCTCCCCCAAGCTGCTCCCAGGAGACCAGATCCTAAGACAGGCCTTAGTGCCTGGCCAGTGCTCACTGGTTCCTTATGATGGCCAGGATCTCTCTCAGTTTTTTGAGCAGGGATTACTCCCAGGTTATCCTGGAGGACCTTTATGGCCTGTGCTTTAGAGCTGGCCTGTCTGCACTGACCTAAGAATGGCTTCACATGGGCCTGGAAGATAAATGAGGCTTTGGGAATTCAGGCCCAGGGATGGACGTTTCTGCATTACTGTGGCCATCTGTCAAAGCTTGCCTGGATTCCTACTAATGTTTCACAGCTTCTTATTCTTTTTTTTTTTTAATTTTAAATTTTATGTATTTTTAAAAAATTTTAAGTGTGTGAGTATACTACCTGCATGTCAGTGCACCCATGTCATACAATGCCCACAGAAGTCAGAAGAGGGCATTGGATTCCCTGGAACTGGAGTTACAGATAGTTGTTAGCCACCATATGGGTGCTGGGAACCAAAACCAGGTCCTCTGTAAGAGCAGCCAGTGCTCTTAACTGCTGAGCCATCTCTCCAGCCATCCCCCAACTTCTAATGGCCAATATTTCCCAAAATGAGTGTCTGGTAGCCCAGAGGGTAGTTGGGTTTTTAATTCTTGTCTGCTGAAGCCTTGAACTGGTACCTTTAACAATGACCGATTTCTTTCTGGCATGTTGTTGTCACTTGTCCCCTCTCCCCAAGTGGGTCTGCATGGTTCTGTTACTGCCTATGTCACATATTTTGTTTCCATTCACTCTGTGTTCTGCTCTTTCCCTGGTCCTTCCTGTGATGGATGCCTGAAGTGAGGTGAGTGATATTTGGGGTGTCTCTGTCCTGGTTGGCTCTTTGGACTGGTGAAGGTGGGGTTGGCCTGAGAGAAGACAGAACTTGGGTCAAAACCAAGGTGGGGGTGGGGGATACCAGGGGCTGAGAAAGCTCTGAGGGAAAGAGAAGTCATGAATGAAGATGTTAGATGCAGGGCTTCCAAGGTGCTCTGTCCCACTATGCAATGCTTTTGGCAGGCACTCCTGCAGCTGAGATTGCATGTGGCAGATCTGGATCTGACCCTGTAGGCTTCCTGAGTGCAAGTTCTCCCTCAGCCTCTCCAAAAGCTCATACATCCCTGGGGACACCATCCTGTCTCTCGAAATGCTGATGCTGAGCAAAACCACGTGTGAAGGGGGAAGCTATGACTGAACATTGAGGAAGGGGTGAAGAGGTGTCCCGAGGCTCTCCTCAGGTCATGGCTCACCCTGACTCTGGGTACTCTGCAATCCAGATTTCATCAGGCTGCTGAGAACATAGCCTGTGTACAGCCCACGGGGGAGGACTGCAGGGAAAGGCTATATGCTGACTCAGGGAACAGCAAGGGGAATTAGAAGCACTGATGAAGGGGACAATTGACAGGAGAATCTCAGTGAGAACAAAATGTACCATTTTTCAATAGTCTTATGATTTCCAGAGTTTTGGAAAGAGAGTCTTCACTGATCCCTTGTCAGATAAAGAGGCCATAAACTCACTGAGTAGGGAAACAAGGCTACAGAAGCCCATTCCTCATGGCATAGCTCGGTGGGGTTGTAATGGCTATAGCAACGGACTGTTTCTTTCAAAGTTTTACTTACCTGAAGTGTAACAAAAATCCAGGTTTTCAAAGAGGAAAAGTCAAGTCACTGTAAACAGATGAGAAGCTGCTTGCTTAGTATGCTAAAGCTCATTCATTGTCTCCCAGAATGGACTGCTCAAAGCCTGATCATTTCTGCCTGCCACACTGTGGGAATGAACCATAGCTGTGCTCTCCCAGGGTGTAGCATTGAAGTAGGCAGCTGCTCATTGGGAGCCACAAGAAGAAACCTGGGAGTGACACAAGGGCTAAATCTCACAGCTAGGGGTGAGGCAGCCCTGTCACCCTGTCATCTTCACTACCCCAAGGGACCACTGCCATAGGGCTGGGACTTTTTTTTCTTTTTTTTTTTGAGAGACAAGAGTTTCCCATGTAGCCCAGTATGGTCTTGAACATATGATCTTACTGTCCAAAGTACTGGAATTTCATGTGTGAGCCACCATGCTTGGCTTGGGCTGACACTAAGAGCTATTAAAACATACCTGGTTAGTAAGAATATGCCTATTCATTTTGAGAAGAAGAGACAGCAGAATTTTCTTGTCTTAGATTTATATGGGTGAAGATAACATGTAAGGCAGTTTTCATATCCACATAGACATACTTCACCTATTTGGGAAACACAGCATATATCTCTGGCGGGAAAGAGCATCAAAACATTGTTGCATTATACGAGTGCTAAAATGTACATCTGTTTTAGGTTTTTCATCCATTTTGCACATGTGTACTCTCAATTGGTCTGTGATGGCTCTGTAAACTAAGTAAGGTTGTCTCATGTTCATCCATAGATGAGGAAGTGCCTGGAGTCTCTTACAGGATTCTACCAGCACCAGAGCTAGGACAGGAAGGGAGGCTTTAGTCCTTGGGTACCCAACGCTAGCATCTCTGAACTTGAGGGGTTTAATCACAAAGATGAGCTGTTAAGAGCCCTAAAGTGAGCAGAGGATTCTGGGTAATGATTTGGAACCCCAGCCAATATTGTGCTGGTGTGGACCAGAATTTGAGTTTTATAGCCTCTACCTTACCCCCATCTCTCTTTCTTCACACCCTCAGAGGAAATCCAAGATCACTGCATCCCGAAAACTCATGCTGAAGGTGAGGCTGATGCTGCCCTGGGGATGTCCTTTGGGAAATGAAGGGGCAGCATGCAGATTCTGAGGAGTACAGAGAAGGGGAAGGAAGGAGACCAGGCAAGCATGAAGGGAGGCAGAGGAAGCTGGAGCTGGTTCCAGACACCCATGATTGGAACTGTGGATCTTGCCCCTCCTGAGAGGCAGCAGGAAACAGCCTCAGGGTGGGACTCCTCAGTGCAAGCCAGGGGAGTTTGATTCATTTGGGTATGTTTCTCTCTTTGGAGCTCTGTGGGCCCAAAGGGACAACAAGATGGAAAGAGAAAGACTGGGAGAGAGGGAAACGAGCCATGTGAACCTTTTAGTGTGTCCTTACACATAACCTGCTGGTGGCCACACACACTGCCACACTGAGTGAAGGTTTCAGACTCGGCCTGGCCTTGAGACTCCTTCCTCTCATTCTATGATGCTGGGTGGGGAACATGAGGGACCAAACCTGACTCAGTGGGTTTGTCCTGTCTAGAGCCTGATGCTTGCCAAGGCCAAGGAGTGCTGGGAGCAGGAGCATGAGGAGCGTGAGGCTGAGAAGGAACGCTATCTGTCTGAGCGCATCCCCACGTTGCAGACCCGTGGCTTATCCCTCAGTGCCCTGCAGGTGAGTTTGGCAGGCTGGGCTGGGCAGAGCAGGGCAGGGTGCTTTAGGTAGCAGGGATCCAGTGTGGATCTTGAACAGCTCTGTAACTTACAAGGTGCAGTCTCACAACTGCACTTGGGGTGTCGATATCATGCCCTATTCTAAAGACTTAGGAGGGGAATTTCAGAGGGGGAGAATGGAATTAGCTGTGCAGAACCAGGGACCAGCTTTTCATCTGTTGGTACAATGGCATGGAATGGTATAGAGAGGCAGGTGGGCAGGGTTTGGGAGTGACTGTTCCTCTGAAGACTTGTCCCTCCATTCCCTAGAGATGGGTCTTTAATATTTTAAACCATTAGTAACTGCTTTAATGCCAGAGACTAGAAAGAGACAGGAAGGAAATATATTTCCTTATATGTCTCCCTTATTTCCTATATATGTCTCCCATGACAGTGGCTATTTTTATTTTATTACTTTTATTTAATACATAGTTTTCAAATTTTCTACAATTAGTTAGGCATAGTGGCTCATGCCTTTAATCCCGGCACTCAGGAGGCAGAGCTCTATAAGATAGATGCCAGTCTGGTCTACACAGGGAGTGCCAGGCCAGCTGGGGCTACAGGGAGACCTATCTCGAAAGGACCAAAAGAAAAGCAAAAAATAAACTATACCCAAATCTCTGACTGACTCCTCAACCATGGGTGCATGGAAGAACATGCATGAAACTCAAAGAGATCCAAAAGAACTGACTAGAGCAGTCCTTGCTTACCACAAAGGAAACAGAGGCTGAAGTTGGAGGTCAGTCAGTTAATTGCCTGCTAAAACAAAGATGCCAATAGTGAGTTCACAGCTAGCTGGGACTATGAGGAGATCCTGTCTCAAAACAACAACAGCAACAAAAACTACAAGCCTGGTGTGGAAGCATATGCATGTAATCCCAGAACTCGGGAGACAGAAGCTGGAGGATTGTAAAATTGAGAGTTCTAGGACAGCCTGACTGCATAGTGACATAATTAATTAATTAAAATAATTAATTAAATTTAAAAATGAAAGCGAAATACAAACAAACATGCACAAAGGGCTTACACTTTGAGGTGCTACCCTGACAATAAGCCTACAGAAGCTCCTGTTGGGATTATAGCTCTGGCAAAGCAGAGGGGATAGGGCTAAGCATGCTGGGTGTAAAGACAGAAAGGGAGTTGGAGTTGGCGGCTCTTTCCCCTCTTCCCTGCTCCCATGCCATCAATCTGCTCCCACAGGACCTGTGCCGAGAGCTGCATGCCAAGGTGGAGGTGGTGGATGAGGAGCGATATGACATTGAGGCCAAATGCCTCCACAACACCAGGGAGGTAAGCCTCGGGAGGAGGGGCTGGGTCTGGGCTGGATGAGGGTGGGCACTGATGTAGCCCACCTCCTTGTGTGGGGTCTGGGAGGTAGCTGCTCGGCAGGAAGCTTTGGTTTACATCCTAGTTTCATGGGCCTGGAAATGGGCAGGGAGGAGAGTCACGATGAAAAGAACAAACTTCCTTCCCACCTGCCACATGAGCTCCTCAGAAGCAGTCCTCTTTATTCACCCACACAAGTAATCAGATGCCTGGTAATGACATCTTACCTTTGCAAAGGGCTTTCATGTATGTTGTATCCTTTGATCCTCCCTACATGCCTCTGGGTGACATGGGGGCTATTTATCTGACCCTTACAGATGAGGACACTGTGGTTTAGCGAGGCTAAGAACTTGGAATAGGTCACAGAATGGGGGTCCTAGCATGCATGCTGGTCTCTAGTTCCTGCTTCTGTGCTCAGTGCTCCTTTAGTATGGGGTGTGTGAGCAGTAAACCCATCCTGTAAAAGAAGAATGGGGAAGAGTGAGGCTCCTGGTGCAGGTGGATGCTTCTGAACATTTGTCCAAAGTGTATGTCTGCTTGCCAGGATGCTGATCTGTGGTGTCATTAAGCTCTAGAGAACTCCCTCCAAAGGTCAAATCCTGGGAACTCCCCCAGGGGTGCAAAACCTAGGGTTTTTCTCCCTGTTGACGGAGGCTTAGTTGAAGGTTCCCTGGGCAGGGGCTGTGTAGCAAAAGTTTGGGGAGCAGAAGGAAGCAGTTTACATTCCACACAAGGCTTGCAAACTAGGAGTGATGGCTTAGTGGCTTTCCTTTTATTCAAGACTTGGTAATGGGAATGGTTAATGGCTTTAGTCAGTATAGCTGTTCATTTACCACATGTGATGGGGATATGGCTCTAGCTGGAAACCTTGCAGCTGGACCATTGGGGAGGGAGCTCCAAAGCCAGCTTCTCCCGCATAGAACCTGGCCCCTTGTCTTCTGCAGATTAAGGACCTGAAGCTGAAGGTCCTGGATCTCCGTGGGAAGTTCAAGCGCCCACCCCTGCGCCGGGTGCGTGTCTCTGCTGACGCCATGCTCCGAGCCCTATTGGGCTCCAAGCACAAAGTATCCATGGACCTGAGGGCTAACCTCAAGTCTGTGAAGAAAGAAGACACAGAGAAGGTGAGGACCACTCTCTTCAGACCTTTCCATCTCCTGCCCAGTGGCCTTTTCCTATTTCCCCTCACACAGCCTTAGGCAGCCTGAGGAACTCTAGTCAGTCTGTGAATAAGAATATTTTAGAACCCCCTGGGAGGTCAGTGTCAGAAGAAAGATGACTTGCTCCTTTCCCTCAGGCTGCTTCTAATATGAGGGGAAGACTGGATATGAAGAAGGGCTGGCTGAAGAATAAAGTAAAAAATCTTTCCCCTTGTGTGAGGAGAATGCAGGGACTTAGGGGGTGACCACTGCCCCTGTCATGGGAAAAGGAGACAGCATCTCATTGTGACTATAGGGACATGAGACACGAGAGTACAGAAATTGGAGAACTGAGTTCAATTAGTTGCTCAGCAATCAAAGACTTCAAGTTTGTATGCTCAGAACTGACAGGCTCTATGAGGAGCAAGACCCAGGAAACTTCATAAAGAGAAGAAAAAGGCCAGGCAGTATAAATGGGATAAAATGGGAAATGAATCAAATGAATCAGAGTACTATTTTGGTGGAAGTGACTGGGGTGCAGAGCATCAGGCAGGAGGGTGTTGTGGGGCCTAGAGCTGAGGTTGGCCTGTGGTGCACTGGGAACAAGCCCTGACACCCCCATTAGAGTCACCCAGAACCTCCCATCCACAGACCGGCCTTCTTTCCATGGAGACTCAGCTTGGCCTGTGTCCTTGTCTGGCTAAGTCTTCACATGTCACCTGCTGGGCAAGGGTGTCAGGATTTCCTATCATTCAGAGGACGTGAACTGTCTGCCACTCAGCATCTCTTGAGCTTAGGGCACTGTGGCTGCCCCTCCAGCCTGGTGAATCTCTGATGTGTTTGTGACTTTTCTCATAGGAGCGGCCTGTGGAGGTGGGAGACTGGAGGAAGAATGTGGAGGCCATGTCTGGCATGGAAGGTCGCAAAAAGATGTTTGATGCTGCCAAGTCTCCAACCTCACAGTAGAGGTGCTTAGAGATGGGCTCCCTTTTGTTTTGGAGCCCCTCAGAGTCTGGAGTGTACTCAGGATAAGGGATGGGAGGCTGAACCCAGTATGAGGGAGAAGAGTTCTGGGGAATCAGCTCTCTTGAGCACAGGCTTGCCCCAACATCTTCTGATAATAGACATGGCATGTCCGCACCAGGCTCTTTTTGTTCCTACATCCATAAAATTGGGGCTTGTATTTTATCAGTGGTCCTGGGACTGGCATCATTCACATCTTGGTTGTAAGTAACTGAACTGGAAATTGTGGGGCAGGGCAGCCCCTAGATGATCCTGAGGCAAGTATGAGTTTGTGAACATTGGATTAAGTGAACATTGGATTAAGTGATCCCCAATGTCCCTCCAGCTCTGACTATCCAAGAATCCAAGGTTTTTTACGGGTGTGACATCCTTTCCTTGTACACTCTGCAAAGTACACAGCACTCCAAGTCCCTGTTCCCAGGGAGGCCCCATTCAGAGAATTTAAGGCTTTCCACCCTCCAGAGAGATAGCTGGAGGAATTGACAGAGCAATGGAATTAGGTCATAAAAGCCCCGTTGAGGGTGTATGGAGAGGAGGTGTAATAGGGTCTGCAGGCAGTGCAGGCCAGAGAAGAAGGCTTTCTGCAAAGCAGCTGTCAGCAAGTGATAGGTGATAGGAGAGGGTTAGCAAATGAAGGGAAAGGGCTGTGGATGCAAAGCTCAGCTGTAGGAAGGAACTAGTCATGGAGGAGGGCAAGGCCAGGCTAGAGCCAATGAATTTGGGAATGGTGTAGAGAGGGGAGGAAGCTGGGGTTCTTGGCAGAGTAGCTGAGGCTTTGAAGCAGCCCCAGGGGTGATACAAGGGAGAATCTCCAGAGACTGCAGGGGCTGCATGTGCTGTGGGTCAGTCAGGGAAACCTAAACAACACACATCACTGGGAACTGATGGCTCCTCTTTATCCTCACAGGTTGTCTTCCTATATGGCACTCTGGGCTCCTGCTTTGGGTTCCTTCCTCCGGCTTAATCTATCTTTGCACACGCCTGGAGCATCCCCTGGTGCCCTCCTCCCCTCCACCCCGCATGTCTGCCTTTGGAGCCAGGAAGAAACAGCACACAAAAGAGAGAGAAATGCTAGTGTCTGAGACCTCACTCCAGTCTCCAGCACCCATCAGGCGCTCTGGGGTTACCTAGCCATCCCAAGGGGTCACAAGCTGAACACCTTGCCTGCTGTCCAACGCTGCCTCCCTCTATTGTTATTGTTGCCTGCAGTGTTCACAGGCATCACAGCTTGTCATTAAAAAAACCCAGTTTCCTGGTTATTTCTGTAGCTCTGTTGTTAGTGCGTAGAAAAAAGAGAAGAAATCTGTGAAGAGAGGTTTGGGGATTTCAGTGTCTATAGTCAGGAGCTCAAGGGCAGCAGAAGCAGAGTGGAGTGCTAAGGATTTGGTGGCTCCCTGCTAATATCCCCCCAAAACCCCTCTGCCTGGTCACAGTGATGTCACATTCACATTCTTACTCTCCAGTTTCTTGGTTCACCAAAGCCCTGACCCCTGATAACAGCTGGGTCTCTATCCTAGACTCCAGCTGTCAGAAGGGTATTCCCATTTGGTGGCCTTATTTTCCTTACTTCCTCAAACATGGGCCATCTGGCGCCTGCAGATGTAACTGGCTATTGTGGACCAAGAAGTCAGGGTGCTTTTTAACCTCTCATCTGGTTCTGCACACCAAGGTCCTGAATTGTTTTGCATGCTGGCCTCTCAGAAGGGACGCACTGAAGTTCCACATCTGACCACCAGGTGGCTCCATCCCACATTGTTGTCCCTAGCTGTTTAGGTCCTTTTAACCCTTGTTCTCTCCTGATTACTCCTCTTGTACTGCAGACAGGCAGCAGGAGCTGGTGATTTCCTGAGTCCTCTGCATGGACCCTCTGCCCTTTCCCAGAGGGCCTTAGGCTTGTGTCACAAGCCCCAACCCCTCCTCACATTCCTGCTCTGGTCAAATATCCTCAAGACTGATTGATTTCTTTCTCTGAGGTAGGCCAGCTAGTGGGCTGTCCTTTCAGTCAGTTCCTTTCTTTATCTCACTAACATTTAGACCCCAAACCTCTGAGGGGCATAAGCTGAGTGTAGAATGAGGGACTGGGGGAGGCACTTAAAGGAGCAGAGAGCAAAGTTCAGGGCCAGAATGGAACTTGGCTTTTTTTAGGACAGTGTCATGGCGACTCCTGAGCTAAGCCCACAGGGAAGTGACTGGTCCCAGGACTGGTCCCAGGAGAGGCTGAGCCATCTGAGCACTCTTTTTCACTTGCCCCTGGTGATACTCTGCTCCACCCTCTGATCCCCATACATTATCTGCCATGAATGTCAGAGGCTGGTGCAAAGTTCAGTGTTGCAGCCTCATGGGCCACAGTATGGGACAGGCATGCTCAGCCTGCCTGTGGCAGTGGGGACCAGCAACTTGGGATGCATTAGGGGAGGTAGCACCCAGCACAGGGCTTTTATTCAGCAGGTCATCAGGCAGAGAGGCAAGAGTATGCAAAGAGCACACTTACTAGGCACATACCCAATCTCTCTCTCTCATTCTCTCTCTCTCTCTCTCTCTCTCTCTCTCTCTCTCTCTCTCTCTCTCTCTCTCTCTCCCTCTCAGAGCTGGGGAACCTGACAGGGCTAGTTCATACCACAGAGCATAGGGTGAGGTTTCATGCCTGGGCAGCCAAGAAACCCACCCTTCCCTGCCTCACAGGCTCCTCCCAACTGGCCTGGCTCCAAAACATGTTTCTGTGTTTTGCCTCTTCTCAGTCCTTTGATAGAACCTGGTCTCATGTTCCAGAGGCAAATCTCAGTCTGCCAGTTAGTTGACTGTTAACCCAGGGCTCTGGCAGATTGAGGTCTTTATCCTGCCCTAAGGAGTGGGAGACCAGCCCCAAACCTGACTCAAAGCAAACATGGTTTATAAAGGGCTACTGGGAGGAGGAGTTGGGATCCCAACACACCCAAGCCTATTGCCGTCAGGAAAAGGGCAGAGGGCCCCTGTAGAGGACTCCAGGAGGCCCATAGCGTCCTTTTTTCACTTCCTGTGCTCTGATGCGTTTCCTTGAGGATGGATGAGAACACCGGCAGATGAGAACACACTTTCTGTGAGGGAAAACGGTGCCTGTGTGGGTGAGGGGAAGGTGGACTTACTGGAGTGGGAGGACTCTGGAAACTAGGCAGGGCCTGGGGTGAGAGGTATTGTCTCTGGCGAGTCCTGATTCCCCATGGATGCCCACAAGACTGGGTCTGGCCAAAAGCAAGCAGGACTGGGCCCTGAGGCCTTCCACTGATTGGTCTCATGGAGCATGTGACCAGGTGCCAGGCACTGCTTAGGCACTACAGTCATTTAACCTTCATGTTAGCGCTGTGAGAAAGCACAATCACCATCCTCGCCCGTCAGGTGGGCACTGAGGCACAGGGAGGCTAATGCCTTCCCACAGTCATACAGCATGGAAGGAGGTGGGACTTAACACAGGAAGTCTGTCAGCATCCAGACTGTCCTACTTCCATGGCACTATTTCCAGTAATAACAATGACAAATGTACTATGTCAAATACTTTATCAGAATCTGTCATAAATTCTCACAAAACCTTGGGGTAGAATCCATTAAGTCTCCAGGGGAGACACCTGGAGGGTTTAGGACACCTGCTCTAAGATATAGGTGCTGACAGCTGTGAGATGCACAGGGGACCCCAGCCCCGCCTGTCTTGGGAGTTGCTCTTTTCTGGGATCAGTCTTGTTTCAATAAAGCCCAAAGCAGCTACTCTCCAGGAGGGACCCCCCACTGCATGTGTACTGAAAGTTCTCATATCCCCACCAAAGGAGAAAACATTAAAAGAGAGGCAAGCCACACCCATGTGGGCAAAGGTGAGGTCTCCCAGTAGTTGGGCCCAGGCTGAGGGTGGAGACTGAGGGCCTTCTTGTGAGATGTCTGTTATAAACAAACCCACAACAGCTGTGTGGGCATGCCTCTCTCTGCAGCTGGAGATGGCCTGATGCTCCTCCCTCCTAGTTAGGAACAATCAGGGCAGGATGCTACCTGCTACCACCTTGCCTCTTCTAGAGCCCTCAGGGGGTCAACTGCTGACACCCCTTTCCCTCATGAGGTACTCCACAGGTCCCAGGGTCCCCAGACCAGCAGTCCAGAGCCCACTTAGCAGTCGGGGCACTCAGGGCAGACCTGTGCGCAGGGCTGCTGGGGCTAAAGTGTCTTGCTGAAGGAGGGGCCAAGTTAAACTTTAGCCACAATGGCCCCCCGCGAAGTGAGTCACATACCCCACAGGGCTCTGGGCTGGGCAGCTGGGGGGGCAGTTTTGTTCCAGGTGGGTGGCCATGCTGTTGAAGCCTGGGACAGATCTCTGGGACCAGTGCAGATAGCAGCTTCCTCTCCTGACCCTGATGCTGGCAAGCCTATGGGCCTGTACTTCTGGGAGGGACAGGGACTGTTTACTCCCAGGACATACTCCCAAACTGGTCTGTGTCCACCTCCCTCAAATCCCCTCAAGGCCAAGGCAGAACAGGATGGGCTTCAGTATCACTGTGACATTAACAGAGTGCTACAGTCAATGTTTGGAGTCATACAGAGGGAAAGTGACTTGCTCAAGGTCACAGACCTATACATGGAACTAATACACAGGTCTCTGTACTCACAGCCTACAGGGAAAACTGAATGTCAGTATGCATTGGTCTCCCAGCCAGAGGCTGAGGCTAGGGCCCTGCCTGACTCCAATGTCAGCAAGTGACCTTGCACACTAGTGGGGCCAGCACACACTGGGTGTGCCTGGTCCTTTGCTCTGGGTTCAGGAGAGGTATGCCTCCCCTAGGTGACTGGGCAGGTGCTTCAACCTAGAGTCCCCAGGGGGTGGAATGTATGAAGGCCATGGTTACTTAGCGAAGGGGTGAGCTGGGTTGTGTGGCACATTACAGTGAGCCAGCAGTCATTGGTCAGAGGAGTACATACTGTGTGACCTGATACCAGTCCTTCCCTGAGGCCATCCTCTTAACTGGCTCTAGTGTGACCACAGCTCATCAGTTCTGCCCCATACTGAGGAGCCAGTGCCACAGATGCTATGAGGTTCCCATAGCTAAAGGTGAAAAGTAGAAAGGGCTCTCCTTTGTTCCAAAGCATGCATACCTCTAATTTGTTATTTTAGTATTAAATGCCCTTTACTTGTGTAGTAATTGTTGTACAATATTTTGATATCTTTTAAAAAATGTTTTATTTATTTTTATTTTATGTGTATGAGTGCTTTGCCTGCATGTAAGTGTACCCATATTGTGCAATGCCCAAGGAAGACAGAAGAGGGTGTCAGATCCCCTGGAACTGCAGTTACGATGGTTGTTAGCTGTCATATGGGTGCTAGGAATTGAACCCAAGTCCTCTGCAAGAGCAGCCAGTGCTCTTAACTGCTGAACCATCTCTCTAGCCCCTGATACCTTTCTAACAGTAGGTCTTGCTATTATTGTCTAGGCTAGTCTTGAACTCAGATCCTTCTGCCTCTGCCTCCAAATGCCAGGGATGCAGGCAGGCACCACCATGCTGGCTTCTAATGTTGTTTTGTTTTGGTTTGGTTTTGGTTTTGAGACAGGGTCTCTCTGCAGCCCCAGCTCAGCTGGCCTGCAATTTACTATGTAGAGTAGGATGGCCTTGATCTGAAGGAGATCCACCTGCCTCTGTCTCCTGAGTGTTGGGATAAAAGTGGCAACAGCATTTAAACATTCATATTCTAAGAAATATTGCTAGTTTGTTAAAAACAAAAGCCAGTGGACTGCTGGACAGGAGTTCTTTGTATGTGGGCGTTACCACTTCCTTTTTTCTGTTCTCTCCTAGTGCCATAGAGTGAGGACAGGATTGAAGTGTCAGGGTGTGATGTGCAGGTCAGTTGACCGGGACTGGGGATCCCCCAGATTTCCATTCTAGGTTCCCTGGAACAGATGACCCATGAATCTTGTATTGGGGGGGAGGATTCCAGAGCCTGGGTGTCTGTTCTGGGGTACTTCTGAACCTTGCCCTGGATCAGGGAATTCCCAGTCATGATTGACTTTGCCTTGGTGGATTCTCCTGAAGGAAGTGACCACCACATACTGACATTTTAAATATACATATAATTAAAGAATTATAAAGGACCCATATATGATTTAATTAATTTATTTTCGTGGTGTTATGGATTGAATCTTTGAGCAGAACAGGCAAGCTCTCAATCACTGATCTATACTCTCAGCTTCCAACCATTCATTTTCAAAACTAAGCTATTGTGAAATACTTTTGAAACCCTTGCCCCCCAACACAATGCCTTCCTTTCCATAAAGGTAAATAAACATAATCCTCCATTTTGTGTTTACAGGCATCTCCCTTCTCCAAAGCTTTGCTTTCTAGTTTCAGTTATCTGTGGTTAACTCTGGTCCAAAAATGCTAAATGGAAAATCCAACTAATAAATAATCCATCCATTTTAATTTGTACGCTATCCTGAGTAGTGTGATTAACTATCGCACCATCCTGCCAGGACTGGAATCATCTCCCTGTTGTATGCATCCATGCTATGAAGTTTCTCATTCGCTAGCCACTTGGCCATCCCTATTATCAGATCAGCCGTGCAGTATCACAGTGTTTGTCTTCAAGTCATCCCTATTTTCTTACTGGCCTCAAAGCACAAACATGTGGTTACAATGGCTCTTCCTTTTGTTTTTTCCCCTTGTATCTTTTGAGACAGGTTCTCACTCTGTAACCCAGGTTGGTTTGGAACTCACTATGTAGCTTAGCCTGGCCTCTAGCCCTTAGCAATCTTTTTACCTCAGGCTCCCAAGTGCTGGGATTATAGGCAAGGGCTGTTCCACTTGCTCCATTTCATTAGCTTTTTTGTTTTGTTTTGTTTTTCTTTTCCTGTGCAGGTGATTGAACCTAGAACCTTGCAAATGCTAAACATATGCTTTACCATTGCATGCCGCTGCCAGTCCGTTATTCTTAGTTCCTGTTGGTAATCTCTTATTGTGTCTACATCATAAATTAAGCTTTATATTAAGTGTGTATAGGGCAAAAAAGTACATATAGGGTTCACATAATCTGTGTTTCAGGCAGCCCTTAGGGCCTTAGACAGTGTCCTCTGAGGATAAGGGGACTACTATAGAATTCTCTGGTTCTCTTTGCACATTTCTATGTGTTTATGAGAACTTAAGCAGTAGTTTGCATCTTCTTGTAAACTTTACATAAATGCATACGTTTTGGCTGTTCTCTTTCAGCACTGAGTCACCCCCTCTGCAGTTCACTCATTTTCACTGCTAAAAAATGGTGAAATGGCAGATACCATTCTTTATTCATTCCTTTTCCTGGTGATGGACATTTGGGTGATTTCAGGCTTCCTAATAGTGATGATTTAAATATTCATGAACCTCTATTCTGCTGTTTATGTCCAAGAGTTTTTTTTTAACCCAGGAATTCAAATGCTGGAGAGCAAGAGCACGATCACCTTTGCTAGCTGTACCACTTACATGCCCCCTGCAACTCTGAAAGCTACTGAGGCTCCATTCCATATTCTGGTTTTGCCTGACCCCAGAGGCCAGAGGTCCTGGGTGCCTAGGACTCCCTTGACCTCAGTTTTCCCCGTGACCTAGCCTCCCAATGTTACCTTCAGTGGGATGGATTTCCCTGTCTTTCTCAAATGAAGTTAGTGTAATTCTCCAAACTCTTATCGAGCACCCAGAATGCCCAGGAAACTGTTGAGGGGACACTGAGGTAAGATTCCTTTTTTTTTCTTTCCATCAGGATGTTTGGGAAGTCAGGACATGGGCACAGATACCAATCTCTGTGATCCTCAAGAACATCTCCTTCCTACTTAACTTCTGCCCTTGGGGGCTATGGAATCATAGTGCCAAGCTGTCTCCTGAGTTCCCACACTAACATCCAATGATTGACCAGACAGATCCTTAAGAGAACTTTAATTTGAATGACTGTTGGGTACCGCTGACCGCCTGACTGCACAGACACAACCCTGAATGATCAGCTCAAAAATGTCTGCCAGTGCTGCAGTCAAGACACCCTCAGTGGTCTATAGTCAACTTCTTCCCCAAATCTCCTAAGTCTGTTACTTCAGTGGCATCTGACTTCACTGAGTCCCTCATGTTGGGCAGAGGAGTCACCAGCCTTGTCAAATCACCTGTGGCCTGACAATTCAGTCCTCCGAAACTCGTGCTAACACAAGTCTGAGTGCACTCCGTGTTTGCGGGTTTGAGTCTCAATCTCCTTTTAGGAGAGCCTGGTCTAGGGGACGTGTTCTGAGCCGCGCTTGCTCATCTCAGCAGTCTATAGGGTGGTTTCTGACGCCTGGGGTGTGCTCTAGGAGCCCCCCATCTCCGCAGAGCTGTGGCACTCCATCCGAGAGTACCGTACCTGCTCTCACTTTTCCGCTCGGCTTCCTGCTCTTGGGTTTCTCCGGGCTAAGTCGATTTCCAGGCAAGGAGCTCAGCCTGACCCCATCTTTGGGTCCCCGCCCTCCGCCCCACTCCCTGGTACTCCGGGCCGACACTGGGAGAAGACGCGGCCCAGCACCAAGCTGGTCCGACTGGTTCTGAGCAGGAAGTCTCCCGCCCTCGCCCGGGGGCAGCCGAGCAGCCCGCGCTAGCCTGGGCGCAGTGCGTGCGGTCCCGGGCCGGTGCGACCGTCACGCAGTGCTGGGGGCCGCACGGCCAGACCCGCCAGGGCGGAGATCAGCGCGGCTTTGTCTGGGACGCCCACACCCCAGAGGCCGCTCCCGGTCGGCGAATGGGAGCCCGGCGGCGCTGGGCCGAGCGGGGCTGAGATAAGTGGCCATGTGATCCACCTGGGCGGGGGAGGGGCCGCAGGTAAGCGGCGGCGTTGGCGCGGAGCTCGGCAGCATGTCGGTCAGCAGAAAGGACTGGTCCGCGCTGTCCAGGTGAGCGCGGCCCGGACGTCGGGGCTGGGGGCAGAGGCGCACCCCCGGAGCTCTTCTCCGGGCACCTGCCTGCACCCGGCTCCGGAGCGGGACCCTGGTCTTGCTCTTCAGGGTGGGACAGAATTGGGACCAAACTCACGGCCCCTCAGGCAGGGCGGGTGGTCTCCCTCCTGCGCAGCTTCCCGTCCTCTTCCCCTTGGGTTCGAAAGGGTGGGCTAGGGGAATGCTGGTCCTCAGCCTGGACAGCCATCCTCGGGGGCAAAGAAACATTGCGGGGAGTGGGGGGGACCGGGAAGCTTCAGGAGTTACCGTCAAGCTTTATTCCAGAGAGAACCCTCTATCACTACGTCTCTGTTAGGGCTGGGAAGTGTTCCTCAGCCACGTTTGAGAGGCCCACCTTTGGGATCAGCAGATAGGGTCTGTGAATAAGATCAGAGAAAAGCAGACCTCTCCTTCCTACATAGAGAGTCTCAAAATTTGAGCATGGCATTTTGGGGTTGCATCTGCACAGGAGGTGAGATAGTTGCTATCCCTTTCTGTGCTGCAATTATGTTTGTGAACTGGTCCAAAACAGTCAGGAACTGGGTGCTATCCCTGCCTGCTGGACAGCCTGTCAGGGTCAGATAAGCCCTGGAGGGGTGGGTGTTCAGGAGGTAGTCCCTCTCACTGTGGAGCTGCCCATACCTGGCTCCAGAACTGGGCATCTTTACTCCTCCTCTCACTGAGCCCCTATTCTGGCATGTACATCTTGTCCTAAGGGACAGAGGCTTTTGCTTGGAGCCCTGCTCCTTCTAGTCTTTAGGCTCCTGTCTGGGCAAAATGGGCCTCTTGGCTTCTCTCAGGTAGGCTTTGGGTTTTCAGGCCTTTTGTAGGGTCAGAGCTGTCTCTGCTGGTGCAGCCCAGAAATTTTCCAGCAGCCTGGGTACCACAGCTTTGCTTATCGAGACATCTCACACACATTTTCCAGCACTTAGGATCTGCTGCCCCACAGGCTCTCTCTGTAGAGCCCCAAAGCCTCTTCAGTCTCAGTCTCCCATAGAAGCTTATCCTTTTGGTAGGAGAGCCATCTCCCCTGATCCTCAGGGCCTCACACTTCTCTGAAGCATGGTTTTGTACAAACCCAGTGCAAAAAAGATGGTGTCTAGAGAAGGGAAAAGGTAAGCTCCAAGAAGGAAGAGGTCCAGGGTCCTGGAACAGGAACCCAGGCTGCCTTAGAGGTCAGACACACCCCAGGGAAGATCTGTGCTAAGGGTGGAGCTGGAGAGGGAGCAAGGCCTTGGACTCTTGACTCGTAGCTGTGGGCCAGTGTGCATGGTGTTGGTGCGGGAATGTCTTTGCTTCTGGGTGTGGGCACATCCCAGCCTATGAATGCATGCTTAGATACCTGTGTGTTCAGCCCTCTGTGTGGGTGAGCATGTTTATGGCCTTTGTGGAGATGAGATGTCTGTGTGGGTAGCAAAGTCTTGTGTTGCTGAGTTTGGAGCTTGCAAGTCCCAGTATGCTTCATCTAAATGTTTGTTGAAGACCTCGGTACTGTATATCAGATTAAAAATGCAAACCAGACAATAGCTCCTTAGAAGTGTCTAGACTGATGGAGTATTTATGATTTTCTGTCCGAGAGCATACCTAGATATGTATAGGGTATGACATGGTTGTGTGTGTGTGTGTGTGTGTGTGTGTGTGTGTAGGGGACAAGGCTGGGTCACTGGGATTTTTAAATGGGAACTAGGTCAGGTCTTAGCTCATCCACTGCTCAGATGGACATGGACTCATGTAGCTGCAGGGGTGGGGCCAAGTTCTCATGGGATGTCCAGGCTAAGTGGCAGGGAAGCCCTGGGGAACCAGTCCTGCCACAGGAACCCCTGGTCTGGCCTCCCTGCCTAGTGTCAGCCTTCACAGAGCCCTGTGTGCAGACATAGCTGCTGCCAACAGTCTCCCAGATGAGGCACCTGGAACAGAGGACTGCTCCTGCTCTGCTCCCTGAGTGAGCAACAAGCCTCAGCGGGCTGCAGGAAAAGGTTGTGAGTCACTGACAACTGAGTCTCTCAGGCTGGGGAGGACTATGCTGAGGGTGTGACAAGAGTGGCCTCAGCCAGAGCCAAGGTGGAGATGTGGGTGAGGAGCTATGGGCCAGCCTGTACTCACTGTCCTCTGCATTGAATAGAGGTTCAGAAGGTGCAGCCCTGGGATGAGGGCAGTAGTGAGCTGACTGCCCTAGTGAGCCCTGTCCTTTCTTCCCTGACCTGATCTGGTGACCAGTGAGGGTAGGCCAGATTGTCTGTGGGAGGTGAGGGGTGGATCTGAGAGAGACCTGAGACTAAGTGGCCATTGGTTGGTTAATCATTTCCCTGCCTGGCCCTTAAGCAGCCCTCTCACCCCTAGCACTTCCATGGACTTTCTTGATACCTCTCTTTAGACAATCTGATCCAGTGGTACCTCAGACTACTCACAGTGGCCCCTCAGTATGTGGAAAGGAAGACTAAGGCCTACCTACTCAGGAGCTGAAGATTGGCCCAAGGTCATGGCTAGGCCTGGGGTCCTTCCACAGCTTCGCTATGCCCATTGGGGGAAATGGGTTCTACTGCTACATGTGACAGAGCAGTCGGAGCTGAATGTCTTTGAAGTTACTTAAGAGAAAGGTTGGAGTTGGTGAGTCAGGAATGGGGAAGGATAGCAGCCCTACTTGGAGGCATAGAGAGGGAAGTGTGACCCCCCCAGTGGAGGCCAGGAGGTAGAAGAAAGGGATGTGGAGGGGTGGGAGTGGTGAACTGCCTGGGCTGGGCTGCAGCATCAGCTGGAGAGTGACTAGGGTGTTAGGGCCCAAAAGTTCTACCCAGGGCCTGGTTCTGGGGCTCTAGCCCAAGGTTGCTGGGCTCTCCCAAACCTCTACTCTCCTAACTGCACCCTGAACTTGGGCTGCCCCTGGTGGAGAGTCCCTAACCTCTGGTTAGGCACCCTTGTTCCTTCTGTTAAGTGTTCAGCTGTTAGGCTCCTATGAAGGTAGATTGTCCTCTGGTTTAGGGCCTTCCCTTCCAGGACATGTTTCTGGCTGTTGATGGACATGTTTCTGGCTGTTGATGTCCTGGTTAGGGCATGAGGCTTTGAGAGGCTGACTTAAGTGGGAGTCTCTGTTCTTTCTTTACAGTAGCTGTGCTTTCTTCAGAAAGTTATAAAGCCCTCTGGACCTCCGATTCCTCATATTCAAAATGGGGGTAATACCACCTTGCCTCCCAGTGCAGTAAAGATTATCAATGGTATTTCTAAAGTACTAAGGCCAGTGTCTGACATTTCAGTAAGCACTTATATGCTAGTGTTCTTGTATTCTCCTCTATTCTTTTACTTATTGATTTCTTTTTCACCATATTTGAACTTTGAGCACTATTCTAAGTCCTCAATAATTGATTTATTACTAGAGTTTCAGTAATTGCACTTGCTAAGGTCCCTTCTGGGGACTGACCTTTGTCCTTCCTTCTCTTTCACTTCTGTCCATTTCTTCATCTTTAGAAGCCAATAATCTGTGCTTATTGGAGATAACATTTTTCTCCCAGGGTGGGGTGAGGTAATGAGAGGACTCATATTTTGCCAGGTGTCAGGAGTTGAAGGTAGCCCCACGAGTCCTGAGCAGCAGGGGGATGACCATGTTACTCTGTGTGAGCGCGCGCATGCGTGTGTGTGTGTGTGTGTGTGTGTGTGTGTGTGTGTCTTGGTGTAAAACTTGGAAACACTCAAGGACATCATCCAGCCCTGTCTTCTACAGCTGGCTCTGGCGCAGGCTGAGTCATGAGTCATGTCAGAAAAGACCCGTTCAGGCTGATGGCACACCATAAAGGGCCCCACAGGAGGATAAACAAATCCTCTGCTTCCCCGGGGGGGGGGGGGGGGGGGGGGGGGGGGGGGGGGGGAGCAGTGAGCAGTGTGTGAGAAGAGCATTGCTCAGGACCAAGGAATCTAGGAGGCTCTGGCCCAGCCCGCTGGGTGTGGTCAGGGAGAGGTCACTTTCCTCAGGAGATAGACCCTCTCTGGAGGGTAAGAGTTGTTGCCAAACTGGGACAGGGGCAGGGTACATGTGGAGAAAGGGAAAGAAGGAGCAGTGTTCAAGCCAGCAGAAGCTGGTATTGCTAATTTTGACTAAGGCTGAGGAGAGGTGGGACATCGGAGCCTGGCTCAAAAGAAACCACAGATTTTTGTGCAGTATATGGATGGATGAAGGATTAGTTAGCAAATACACAGAGCTCACAGGGTTCATGTGAAGGTCTAGTGGAGGCCTGTTTAAGTCCCATCATGGTCAAGGCCGTGGGAGAAAACTTTGGCTCTTTTTCATATGCACTGTGATAGTGAACAGTTGTGACTGATAAGCAAGAAGATTGAGGTTGTTACTATAATGGTGGATCTGGGATATTCTAGAATGTTCTCTTCTAAGACAGCTCCTTTCCCATGGGGTGAAGAGCAGATACTCCCTTCCCTATGTAGAGGGATGGGTAGATTGCCTTCAGGGGCTCACGGTTTGCTCTCCCTTTGTATTCTGCATCAAGGTGGAAGCTGATGATTCCTTAGGAAGAGAGCCCTGGGTCCTGAAAGTGCACAGTTACTCTTGTTCTACATTTGTTGGCACTTGTAGTATGCTGGTTATCATGCTAGACACCAGCAGTCTCCAAGGCTGATCTGTCCTTGCTTCCTTGCAAGCCTGTCCCAGGCATGCTGTCTCCCCTTACATACCCAGCTCCTATACTAGGGCTCTGTACTCACAGCCCCCCTCCTGGGACCCTTTGCCACAGCTGATTCCTTCTCTTGAACTAAGTCTTTCTACCCAAGCACCTCTCTCACATCATACCTTGTCAAATTGTCTTTCTGACACTTAGCTGATGTCATTTTGTTCATGAGATTGTTTCCTTGCTTATTGCCTGACGTTGCCCTCCTGCTTCCTACTTTATGAAGGGAGGTCTGTTGTTTTCTTTCCTACTGTATTTCAGCTCCCAGAATCATGCCTGGCCCATAGGCAACCAAAAAAGTATTAGTTGAGTGAATGTTGGCTGTATAGATGTAGTGCCTGATCTAGGAAAACTATCAGAAACATCATGTGTTTCATGCTCTTCATTTTAGGAGCAAAAAGTGGAGAAGCAAAGGAAATGAATTGCTGAAGCGCAAGAGAGCTAGAGACCGGGTCACTGAGCCTGCCTTGCAGAAACCAGAGGTCCATAGGTGTAATACAACTCAGTGTATAGAGTTGTGGGTTTTGAGGCAGGATAGTTAGTTAGGAAACAGGTAATGAGAAGGGATAGTCCCTCTCCCCCATTGGGATTTCTGTCTCTTGCAAGCTGATACCTAGGAGTTTTTTACAGAACTGATCAGACCACTTGAAAAAGATCTATACTCCACTTTCCGAGAAACTTCACAAACAAAATAGCTAAAAATAAATAATGACCAACCTCCAAAGTAAGGCTCCCTTTGAGGAATGTGGTCTCTATTCCCTTCTCCAGCTGAGAGCCTACACAGCATGCCTAAAAAGCATCTTCCTTTCAAGAATAGAATTCTATCGACAGAAAAGGAATATGCCAAGGCATACTTTCCTTATCTAAACTTAAATATGAAGTAGTTTTAGCTGGGTGTGGTGGCACAGAGGCAGGCAGATCCCTTGAGTTTGAGGCCAGCTTGATCTATGTAGCAAGTTCTAGGCCAGCCAGTGCTACATAGTGAGACCCTATCTCAAAAAACAAAACAAAACCAACCAACCAACAACAACAAAAAACCAGATTATTTTTTAATATTTTATTTATTATTTTTGTTTTATGTGTATGAGTGTATTGCCTATATGTATTTAAGTGCACTAGTGTTGTGCAGTGCCTTGGGAGGTCAGAAGAGGGCATCAGATCCCCTGGAACTGGAGTTCCAGACTGTTGTTAGCTGCCATGTGAGTGCTGGGAATCAAGAGCACGTGTGCAAGAGCAACCAGTGCTCTTAACCACTGAACCAACTCTTCAGCCCCATATTAAATAGTTTTAAAGACCCTAGCTGTTCTTGAGGCTTTTTGGTGAGTTCCTCTCTTAAAGCCAACACTTGACTCTCTCCAAGTGCCTCCTGCCTTTATAACTTTGCTTCACTTTGACTCTTCCTGAAATTCTTTTCTACAGTGTTAAAAACTGAGCTACACCTGAGGAGAGGTCTCTGCCTCTCCGAGGAGACAATTCAATTGCCTGAGTAGAGGCCCCTGTGTCTTTGAGGGGTCTCTTCAGTCAACGGAGTAGAAGACCCCCCACATCTCTGAGGAGACTCCTTAGGCATCCCAGGCTCTAACACTGAGTTCCATTTCCTGCTGCTTGTGACAGGTTTAATAATTTTTGTTTTCTCAGAAACTGACTCCTCCTTAAGTCAAGGCTTGGATAAGTCAAGGGTACCTGTTGATATCCTTCAGGAGGGGGGAAGCTGGAGAGAGAAAGAGAGAACCCAGAGTTCTGAACCCAGACACCTGATGGTAGCCAGGGAAACCTTACAGATATTTTCATAGCTCTTGACAGGAAGATGGAGCCCCTTTCCAGAACCTTCTGATCAGGGTTGCAGAGAACACTGGGGGAGTCATAGGGAGATTGCCCAGGAACTCTTACCTAACCTGCATGACATGGGTGCACTTACCTGCATGCAGGCATAACACTCATACATGTAAAATAAAAATAATAAATAAAGTATTTTAAAAAAAAGGATGACAAGGGCAGGTGCCGGGGTCAATGGTTGTATTAGTTACTTTTCTGTTGTTGTGATAAAACAGCATGATCTAGGCTTGGAAGGAAGAATTTATTTAGACTTATATGGTTCAAGATGGCGAGTCCATCATAGCTGGGGAGGTGTGGCAAATGGCAGCTGGAACAGAATACTGAGAGTTCATATCTTCAAGCACTGGCAGGGAACAGTGAGAGCAAGCTGTAAGTGTGGCAAGGCTGGGAACTCTTAAAGCTGCCTTCCAGTGACGTGCTTCCTCCAGCAAGGCCACAGCTCCTAAAGGTTCCATGACTTCCTCTAAACTGCACCATCAACCAGGGACCGTATACCAAGTGTTCAAATACTTGAGCCTATGAGAGACATTTCTCATTCAAACCACCATAATTGGTTTGGTGGCTGGATGGTTGGGTGAATGGATTAGTGGGGGGATGATTGGCTGCCTGAGAGTGTCTGGTTGATTCCACAAATGCTGCTCAAGTGGAAAAAGGTGGGAGAGGCCAAAAGACGTCCTGGGAAGTGAAGGTATACAGTGGTTTTCTCCAGGTCTTATTTGTGAGTATACTGCTTCCCTGTTCCCAATCAGAGGCTAAGAATTTTTGTGGGGACTTGAGAAACTTTGAGGAAATTCCTCCATTATTGTCTACTGATGAAGACTACCTAAGAATTCCAGAACTGAGAAGAGACAGGGCTTGTCAAGTTCACTTGCTTCTTTCAGACAGAACCATGCCACCTTCCCCTCTTCCCCTCACTAGGGAGGCTCTGTTTCCAGCCCTTAGTTAGGCCCATCACCATGGTTCTCAGCTCTGGATTGCGAACCACCTGGGATATTTACAATGCTGGAAAACATTTTGGTTGTCACATCTGGTGGCTGCTGCTACTGGCGTCTAGGGGTGCTACTAAATGCCCCATAGTCCAGAACAGCTCCACTACCAAAATGTCAATGGTGCCAAGTAGGAGAAACCCTGATCTAACCAAGTCCCTACAAGCTGAGTAGAAATTTAATAGATATATAATATAAACTTCATTGAAAATTTAAATTTTCTTGTAGTCACATTAAAGAACTACAAGAGAAAAAATTTAAGCAACATATTTCATTTGCTCTAATATAACCAAGTGTGATCATTTCAACATGTGATTGATGTACACATCTTTTTGAGACATAGTCTCACTATGTTCTGAAAGGGAGGCTTAAGCTTCTGGGCTCAAGCAGTCTTCCTGCTTTAGCCTTCTAAGTAGCTGGGATATAGGCACAGATCATCATACCAGACTATGTAGTTCTCAATGAAAGATTTTACACTTTGTTCTTCATCCTGGGTCTTTGAAATCTAGAGTGTATTTGCACTTATAACACATCTCAGTTCCAACCATGTGCACTGCAGTGCTCCAGGGCCCCTGGCAGCAGGCTGCCTGGACGGGGTTTGTCTTCTATGGAAGACAAACCTGTGGAAGTCTGACTCAGGTGTCCTTCCCCCCTTCCCCTAGCCTTGCACGGCAGCGGACTTTGGAAGATGAGGAAGAACAGGAACGTGAACGTAGGCGGCGACATCGCAACCTGAGTTCAACCACAGACGATGAATCTCTACAGCTCACCCAGAATGGAACCAAGCAGGCTGTGGAGAGGTACTGGGGTTGGGTTGGGACCTGAACATCATTTCCCCATTCTTAGTAAGCTGTCCCAGGCAGACTACGTGAAACCTGCTTGGCCTGCTGAGGACTTTGGCCCAGGAATAAGACTGAAGATGGGAAGTGAATTTCTCGCTGTCTCCAGACTCCTCCTCAGCCCGGGCATGGTCCCCACCCTCCTCATCACACTGAGGGATGCTGTTTGGTGAGACCATCCACAAGCCCATACTCTTTTGGACATTATGGATGTGGCTTCCTTCAGTACCCACAGCGTTGAGAGGCAGATATTAATACCCAGTTTTACAGCAGGAGAAACCCAGGAAGTAGGTATGTAGATGACTTGCCAAGGGAGATCCTATACTAAGAGAAGGGGTCCACAGTTTTTTCCTAGATTTGTCAAACTTTTCTTTAAGCCAGACTGCCTCGATGCACCCTAACCCTCCCCATTCTGAGGGGAGGAAAAGGGGGACTGGCCTTGCCCTCTTGATTTTGGGATTTTGAGGGAAAGGAAGAAAAAGACCTAGAACTTACTGAATGCCACCTGTGTGCTAGGACCTGGCTCTCATTTCATTGCCTAACAAGCTCAGTTTACAGATCTGAAAACTAAGTTTCAGACAGTAAGTTAACTTGCCCCAAATCACACAAAGAGCAGGGTGCTATAAGGCAAAGAATCCCCTTTAGCTGGAGACCAAGGTTCTGAGTCTGGGGCAATTCTTTTATATTGCTCTTGTTTCTTTACATCTCCCTATGAAAGGATACCAGGGTGTGTCACCTGGGCTGACCCAAACCTGTGGCTGCCACCAAATCCCATCCACACTCATATGACTGACAAGAGGGTAGAATAGTGCCTCAGAAGTTTTGGGTTTTCCTTCCAGCTCCCTGTTTGCTGTGTGACCTTTGTCAAATCCTGAACACCTAGGGTCTCCTCTAAGCTCTAATGGACAGGGACTGCACTCACTCATTTGACCTCCCCACCACCCAGCACAGGGCCTGGTACCTATAAAGTAGTTGCTCAATCAGTGTTCACTGATTGTGGCTGAATGTGGGATGGTTACTTCACAGGGATTCTCAGCTAAAGCATGACTTGCTTTGTTCACATGACACTTTGGAGTACAACAAGCAAGAGTAGAAAAAAAGTGATCTTTTAAATTAATTTTTATATGTATGAGTGTTCTGCAGGAATGTAAGTACACCATGTGCATGCAGTGTCCACAGAGGCCAGAAGAGGGTGCCAGATACCCTGGAACTGGAGTTACTGATGGTTGTTAGCTGCTCCAACCTGGGTCCTCTGCAAGAGCAGCCAGTACTCTTAACTGCTGAGTCATCTCTCCAGTCCCTAAAGTGTTCATTTTTAAAGTATTGGTGGTAGGGGAAGGAGAGCAGGATCTGACCTCTTTGGTGGCCCTGTTGGCATCTCAGCAGGTCAGCTATACACAGGGTCCCCCTCACTCCTGATACCTTCTGATTCTATCTGTTCATCTCCCCTTCTCAGGCTGCCAAGTGTGGAGGAAGCAGAGGTGCCCAAACCACCACCCTCAGCCTCCAAAGATGAGGATGAGGATATCCAGGCTATTCTCAGGACGCGGAAGGAACGGAGACAGAGGCGGCAGGCAGTGGAGGCAGTCCAGGCCCCTGTGCAGGAGAGGCTGGTGGTGGAGAAGGAAAGAGACAGTTCTGGCCCTGAGCAGACTTTGCAGCAACCCATCGTGCCTAAAAAGGAATTGGAGCACCTGCCTCGCAGGAGACTGAGTCGGGAGCAGCAGGGCCTCTGGGCCCAAGAAGAGGAGCGCCTGGGAGGCCAGGAGCCTGGAGCAGGAAAGAAGGGACTTCCTGAGGAAGCAGTGACTCAGCAGAAGACCCTGGTCTCTGAGAAATCTCCTGTCCTAGAGAAGCCTGCAGCACCTGCCAAAAGACTAGCTTCAGAGAAAGGGATAACCGCAGAGAGAGCATCTCAGACTGAGAAGAGATGCAGTCCAGAGAAGTCAGTTCTAGAAAGAATGAATGTTTCAGAGAAGTCGCCACTCCCTGAGAAGTCACTCGTATCCCTGAAAACAGCAGCACTAGAGAAAAGGTCTACTCCTGCTCCAGAAAAAGTCAGTGTCTCAGACAAGATGCAAGAGAGGAGGCTGGTGTCAGAGAAAGCATCTATCTTTGAGAAGTCATCAGTCTCAGAGATAAAGCTGGCTCCAAAGAGGGTAGCAGCCTCAGAGCAGCCCCAGACCCCTGGGGAAAGCCAGGCCACCATCAGGGAGCCCAGAGGAAGGGCAGTCCCTGGGAAGAGCTTGCCTTCCTCAGCAGAGCAGGAGGTGTCAGACCCTCCAACTATGGCTTCCCGCCTCCCTCCTATCACACTCCAGGTTGGCACTGTTCCTGTCCCCCCTCTCCACTGCCCTCCCTGTCAGGCCTCGTTGCTAGCCCTGCCCTGTGGCCTCTGGTTCCCTTGTTCCCTCCTCTCCTCCCACTTTTGGACTGGCTTTGGCAGTTTCTTCTCTCTTTGCTGTTCCCAGCTACTGTCAGAATAGAACCACTAAAAGGGGGTCATAGGCAGAGAGTATCTAGGATCCCCAACCACATCCTCATTCAGGACCTGTATTCGAGTCCCCAAACTATATTCTTTCTTCTAAGACCAGGGTACCCTTCTCCTGTTCACTCCAGAGCTCGCTAAGGAAACCAGCATTCATTAAGCATCGGAGCCTTAGGTTAGACAGCAAAATCCTGGGAAGGCTCAGATCCTTCCCAAAACTCCTGGAAAGGTCTGCCTGGTGGCTTGGTCACATGAGATTGTGAAGCCACTCTATAGCAGAGGCAGAATAAGGCAAAGACTGCCTGACTCTCCCCTTCCATCTCCAGCTCCTGGGATGAGCCAGGCCACATGAAGTTTCCATGGCAGTTTGGACTTGGGGGCTGTCTGGGCCTGGGAACACTCTACACTTTACTGAGGAAGACATTTCTCCTGCTCCACTCAGGTAAAAATTCCCAGCAAGGATGGAGAAGCAGACACATCTTCACCCACCCTACTCACCTACAGCAGCTCCCTCAAACGCTCCAGCCCCAGGACCATCTCCTTTCGGGTGAGAGCCCTGTTACCAGTTCACTGCAGAGCACACCAATGAAACCAAAACCCATTAAGCATAAGAGCCTTAGGTTAGACAGCAAGGACCAGCCTCTGGATAGAAAAGGGCTTTGGATTCCCATGGGTGCCCAAACCAGACAAGGCCATTTTAAATAAAAGAGAGCTAGGAAATTGGGGAGTGAATAAGTGTGAGCAGCCCCATCTAGTGGATAGGATCAGAACTGCAGGAAGATGGCACTTGCCTGACCAGGCTGGTCTGCCACAGCCTTCATCAGTCCCAAACTCCCTCTGGTGGTGGGAGCCAACTGGAAGCAGCAGGTCTCTCTAGAGCTCTGTACTCTGCCCTTGTCCCTGCCCCTGCCTCAACAGTGATTGAGATGAGATTGGAGAGTCTCATCTGGCCTGTTACTAGTGCTTATTCTTAAGTTATTTGGTTCACTGAATTATCTGCTCATCCATTGGTGGACTGTGCCTTGTGCTTTGATGCATTCCGGGCTCTGGGGAAGAGGTTGCAGGCCTGTGGTTGGCCAGTGCCCCTGGGGGTCTTAGTCAGTAGTGAAGTAGATAGGAATACAGGTGGTGGTAGGCACCCTGGCAAGGCTGAGGAGGCAAAGGGAGAGCGTTGGACCCAAACTGGGGGAGGGGGTGGAGGCAGGTGTTTCCAGGTAAGACTGAGGGCTTTTTTTTTTTTTAAATTTTATTTATTTATTTTTTATGTGTATGAGTGTATTGCCTGTATGTGAGTAAGTGCACCCGTGTCGTGTAATGCCGCGGAGGTCAGAAGAGGGCTTTGGATTCCCCTGGAACTGGAGTTGAGGACGGTTTGTAGCTGCCATGTGGGTGCTGGGAATCGAACCTGGGTCCTCTGCAAGAGCAGTAGGTGCTCTTAACCACTGAGCCATCTCTCCAGCCTGACTAAGGGCTTTTAATGACCGCTTAGGCACATGTTTTTTGGTGGGGGTTCTGAAGAGGAAGATGCATCCTAAGATCCTAATTGCTAGACAGACTCCTCCCTGGAGGGGCACATGGACTTTCCTGGGATCCCCCATTCACCAACTCCCTTTTCTCATTTCAGATGAGTCCCAGGAAAGACAACTCAGAAACAACCTTAACCCGCAGGTAAGAGGCCTAGAAGCCCTCACTCTCTTTTGTCTAGCCATGTATGGTTTTGGGCACCTGCCATCATGCTTCCTTGGGCCAGGCTGAGCTACAGGGTGCATGAGGGAAGGTGCAGATCTTGTCCAGGGCTCGAGATCTGGAAAGGGGACAGGATTAATAGGAGGCTCTGAGATTGGATGAAATGACTCTGTGAGGAGGGTGACCATCTGGGATAGTGCTAAAAGTTACTGCTTGGGGAACCAGGACAAGGGTAAGGAAACAGTGAGGTAAAGGAAAAGAAATAACCTGAAGGAGAAGAA